ATGTAACCGACGTTAAATTTTGCCTCATGTCGTGATAGCCTCATCTGTTTTAATCGATTGAAACGAGATTTAATCGATTAAAATAATTCTGATCGGTCATAACTGGATTTTGATCGATCATCCTGACCCTTTAAGAGATTTTAATCGATTGAAACGTGTTTTTAATCGATTGAAAAAATTCTGATCGCTCATAATTAAAATCTGATCGATCACATTTGATTCTGATCGGTCATATTTGTATTCTGATCGGTCATAATGAGTTCAGAAGGGTTTTCAACGTCGGGTGAGGGCATAACCGACGTCGAAAGCCTACTTTTCCACGTCGTGCATGCTAAAACGACGTAGAATGTGTCAAAATTCGACTTTCGACGTCGGTTGTTGTACCAACCGACGTTGAAAGCATGTTCAACGTCGGCTAAGATGTAACCAACGTTAAACAGCGACGTTGAAAGTATATTTTCTAGTAGTGATACTAAATAAAGATAGATAAACAAATAACAAAAGATGAAAGTCAACCCGAGTGTAAACAAAGAATTGAAATATTTGAGGAAGATAAATGATCATCCATTCATTTCAAAAATCATAGAGACCTTCGCGCACCAAATTGAGAGTCACTCAGCATGGAGAAGTACAATGGCTTGACAAATCCAAAAAAACACTTAATAATGTACAAAATATAGGTGAAGTTGTATACTAACAATGAAACAGTCCTATGTCGAGTCCTCAAGAATCAACCCTATGATGTTACAATTCTTTGTCATAAAACTATTGATTCATATTATATGTTGATAGAAGGGTTCTAAATTAGGTTTGAAACCATTAACATGTGTGGCTTTGGAAAGTGTGAAACAAGGAAGGGCAAATCCCTCCATACTTTTATGGACAAGTTAGCTAGAGTATCAAACACGATACCAGATTTACACCCCGAGGTGGCCTTACACGCCATAATAATCGCTCTACAACCCAAACCCTTAATCGATAGTTGTAACACCCTACCTTATAAACCCTCAATCAGAAGAATTAATAATTTTTAGTAAATTTTTTTTTTTTACCGATAATAATCTTTCCCTCGTACATAATATCAATATATAAATTTTCAATAATCCATTCCTGTATTTCATCATTTTAAAAAAGTACTAAAAGTAAACATTCATAATTACATATAGATAAATTACTAGTACAGTCCTCCAAAATATTAAGGGCAACATTGAGGATATTTCCTACAGAGCAGCTAACTACACAAAAGAGTCACTACTACTCACTACCCTGTAGGTCTATATACTATAAAAGACTATCTATAAAAGTTTGGATATGTTTATGCCAATACATGTTGCCATCATTGTGGCTCCCAGCTAACGAGTATGAGTATCACACTCATCGGGTGTGGAATCTGTGCCATCTCCCCTCTCTTCAAACAATGACCGATCAGGTCCAACGAGTACCGCAAGCACAAAGGAAATAAAGAAAACAGAAAGACAAGAGGGTGAGCAACAGTTCATACATCATTTTAAAATCAACATCATAAACATTCACAAGTTAATCAAATTTCAAATGATTGATGTTAATGATGCATGATCCTAATATGTTTTCTAAAATGTTTATGCATGCGGGCCCGAATCATTTCTCAAATCAGTACTGGGGTAGCCAGGAGTTGACACTACTAGGCATGGAAAATCCACCCACGGGATTGTTGAGACCCATGCTCAAATATAAACCCAGTAGCTCACTGACCATTGATATACGGTAAGAGCACAGTCAGGTATAGCAGAGTTTGTACAGTGGGATCCCCGACAACAGGTAGCGAGCCTGGGTCTTTTGGGGCCTCCAACCACTACCCTTCCTATCCTCAAGTCCTCCCTCGGGGCCTCCCTATCGTATTCTCGAGTCCATAATCTCCGATTCCCAGATTTCACAAATCACCATTTTCAAATGAGTAATGTATGAGTCCCTAAGTGGTTTTTCTTAGAAATTCACATTTTTCCAAAAATTTGACAGAGTTTCCCCTGTAATACAGACTTCCCAAAAATTTCCAATCACCTGTTACAAGCAGAAAACTTCCAATACAGTTCAAAAAGGGTTCACAACCCATCATCCAATTCTTTCAATTTAATTTTCAATGAATTTTCTCATGAAAAACCACCATGCATATAAATGCTCACTCAAAGACCATACATATCATAATAGAGTACCAAGCATATATTTTACACCATCATACACGTAAGCAATTCATGATCACTTTCACAACCAAGCATATAATAAAATCACAATTATCAATCATAACAAATTTATGATGTAATCCTTACTATATAGCCCACCCCTTACCTGATACGTTCACACTTATTCCTTTCAAAGCTTGATGCTGTATTTCAGCAAAATCTATATACGTAATAAAATTCTAGTTAGAATCTTATATTTCTATGATTCTATCTCATGAGAATTTAAATTCATTCTATATTGCTAATCCATTTTTAATAATATTTTAAGCTCACATTCAGCTTACAATTAACTTAGAAAATTATCCTATTTTGTATACACTTAGACTAGAAAGAATCTTAATTACAACCATGGACAAGGTTCAGTATTTCGAAATTTTCTAGAGTTATATAAACTGTTTTGGCATGAGATTTGAGCCAAAATTTCAATAACTTAATTACCTACAATATTGATGAAGGAAATAAATTCAAATACCCTATAGAATAGATGCAGTTTTCAGTTTTTAGTGGTTATTTCCAACTGGGCTCAATTACAATAACACTCTGAACATGTCTTGGTAATTTGACTATAACTCATGCTAAACATAAGCTATTGACATGAAACAAATTTCTAAATTTCGGGGATATAATTTCCTACAACTTTTATGAAGGAATCAAGTCCTAATTTCATACGTATCAATCCCAGTAATTCAAAAATCGAGGCTGTTGAAACAGGGCAACATCTTAACGTCACAGCTAGAACACTTGACAGTAAAATGGGTATAACTTGAGCTACCAATATCCGTTTAATGTGAAATCAGTTTCTAAATTTCGACAACTTAAAGAGCTACAACTTTCATGAAGATACCGATTCATAATTCTGTTCACACAAGTCCCAAAAATTCAATAAATAGTACCTACGAATTAGGATTCTTAAAGTTTTTAGCTTAACCACTTCTAATCCTCAATTTAAACATTATTGTAGTATTCTTGGTGTAAAACCTACAATAACACTCTTCCTACTCCCATTCAAGCTCATTCAAGTGAGGATAAAAATAGAAAATGCACCGTTTTGAAAAATAAAACGGTAGAAATGTAGAGGAGATTGAGATAAACCAACTTACCTCTTGGAGCTTCTCAAGAAAACCAAGATTTCTCCCTCAAAATGACGCTTGAAGGTAAGAAAACGTTTGAGAGAAAGAGAGAAATGAGGAACTAGGTTACAGATTACAGAATAATGACACTCTGTCTTTTTAAAGTCAATATTTCACCTAATAATCCGCTCAGCGCATTTATGATGCGCCCAACGGATTACATGCCGAATGTAATAGAGATTTCAAACCACAATCCGCTCAGCGCATTTATGATGCGCCAAGCGGATCTCAAAACTCTCTGTTTTAGTCGATTAAAAAACCTGTTGATCGATTAGCAGACATAATCCGCTCAGCACATTTCGAGTGCGCTCAGCGGATATGAGGCCGCAAGTAATAAGATTTTGACTTACAATCCGCTCAGCGGATTTTCGTGCGCTCAGCGCATTATATTAAAAAAAAATATTTTTATTTTCTCCTTATTACCCTAGCTAGAATTTGAACCCATAACCCCTAAGACTCCAACATCACTCCAAACCATATTAACCATCATATGTTTCTTGTTTATTTATACACATAATAAACTTTTAATGTACCCACACTCAATGCATATAAGAAAACAATAATTTCTAAATGTGATAATTAAAATTGTTAAGTCCATACTCTTTCAATTTCAATCCTAAATCATATAATTACTATCAGGCGTCCAGTTGCCTGCGAAACGGATCAATTTTAAGTATTTTCTAAAAATTCTAGAAAAATTCTAGAAAAACACAAATAATCTAACAAACATAAAACTCTACAGTTTCTTTACCCAATTCCTAATAATTTAACAAACCAGGAGTATTGAGAATCAGGATGTTACAATAGTTGTTTCGCTTATCTATTGAGACGCTTTTTAAAGACAAATCGTGACGGTTTTGAGTTCCAAAACGGACATAATATCTCAAACATAAAAATTGATCCTAACGATGTTATCATTATAGATATGAGATCAAAATATTATTATTTCTATACAAAACATTGACACCTACTGTGATGTCGAAAATAAAGTCTTACTTCACTCATACATACCCCTTCTTTAGTGTTCTGGGAGACTATATTACAATGTGTTCATAAGTCTCACATCGTTTAGGAATCAAAATTAAAGATAATTTATATACACATTCCTTTCTTTCTCAACCCATTGAGACATTTTTTAAGAAAAAAAAAATTGAGACAAACTAGAATTTCAAATTAAATAATACCATAAATACAAGAATGGATCATAATAATATTATCCTAAATATAACAAAAATTAATCTATTTATATGATTAATAATTTGTTTTGAAATAACGTCCTTATAACACAATAAGAAAATGTACAAGAATAATAATAATTATAAAATATGCTTTAATAAAAATAGTGTAGCGAGGAATCTCTTTAAGTTCGTCCCCCTAGATCCGTGGTGATTCGGTGAAGCAGGTCCTTATTGTTACAATAATGTTAAAACCTTCAAAAAGAAAATTGAAAATATAAAGAGGTTCGAGATTCGGCGTGAAAATAGTATCACAACCTGCATCCATCCAATATAAAAAATATGTGGCGCATCCAACGGTCCTCCCTCGTCATCACGAAAACGCCGACGTTTAGTTGATTACAGGGAGTACAAAACAATGAAGCTAGTCCCCAAATTATCAATCATACCAAATTTCAATCCAATTCCAAGAACAGATCATGTCCTTCACCGCCCTCCTCCTCCTCCTTCTCCTCTCGCCACCGATCAGTACCGTCACCGGCGATCCGACGGCGTACGAGATGATGGAGAGCTTTGGCTTTCCGGAAGGCCTTCTTCCGAAAGGTGTGACCGGCTACGAACTAGACCCGTCCAGCGGCAAATTCCGCGCCGATCTGAACCGTTCCTGCAGTTTCTCCCTCGAAGGTTCGTACCAGTTGAATTACCAGAAAACCATCACTGGTTACATATCCAACGGAAGGCTCACCGAACTGCGCGGGGTAAGCGTGAAGGTCTTCTTCTTCTGGCTCAACATCCTCGACGTCGTTCGCGTCGACGATGACCTCGATTTTTCCGTCGGCGTCGCTTCCGCTTCCTTCTCCCTTGATAACTTCTTCGTCTCTCCGCAGTGCGGTTGCGGCTTGGATTGCGATGATTTTCGTATAAGGAAACTCAAGTTGGGAAAAGGAAACCCCTCCCACTCCTCTGTGTAGAAATTCAATTCAATTCAATTCGCCTTTAATCAGGATAATTTGTGGACGCTGGTATCGTTGTATTGCATATATATATATATGTATGATATTTCTTCTTCAATGTTTGTTTTATTACTCAAGCCTATTATAATAATAATAATAATAATAATAATAATAATAATAATAATAATAATAATAATAATAATAATAATAATAATAATATTATTATTATTATTATATTAAATGCGATGTTATTTTTATTGTAGCCCGAAAACAGAATGATTGATTGATTTCGATTTTCGTGATAACAAAGATCATTAGCAATGGACAATCAGCCTGAAGTCCTGGAAAAATGCTTCAATCTGATCCATTGGTATAATGTAGTATATATATATATATCTTTCGGGTGAAATTTTGATCGATTTCAATTTTTAACGGATTTTGTTCTAACTAAATTTTAACCACGTAGATTCTTTTTATTTAGGTTAGCAAACGATTTTCAATCGAAATGTGTATGAGGATCGAAAATCATGATGTTTGAAAATACTAACAACGCAACCTAATGTGCTGATTAATAATCGAAATGCTGTTTTTTTGGGATTTTGTATTTAAAGCACTTGAAGTAAAGAAAACAGTAAAATGTCAAATCGAATAATCGAAATTGTGATAATGTAAATGACAGGAAATCGAGATTGCATAAATGTAAATAGCAGGAAATCGAGATTGCATAAATATAAATAGCAGAAAATCGAGATTGCATAAAGTGTAAACAGCGAAAAACTTAGATGTATAATCTTAAATAGTCAGATAACAAGGAATCGAAAGTACATGAACTTAAAGTTGCTTGAACATAAACTGCATCAAAGTAAATAACATGAACATAAATTACCAGGGAAAGTAAAGAAAGCGATAAAGGCAGTCAATGAAAATGGAAATCCAGATCGCCAGAAACTTCATGATTGCGTCGTTCTCCTGTAGACTTCTCACTAGTATTTCTGTTCTCTCTGCCAATTCCCCTCTCCTTTTCAGTCTTCGCTCTATTTATAGAGCATCTTTGAAGTAACCTCCCAAGAGTGGTTAATATCACTATCCCCACGATCCTACGTACCCGTTCCTTTAGTTTTACAGTTTTAGAAACTGCACTCCACGTTCTTACGTATAAGAGAAATGCTCCTCCTTCGATCTCTGTTGCGGTTTAGAAACTGTTTCCCACGTTCCCTGTGTGTGTTAACTGCTCCCTCGATCTCGATTTCAGACATCGAGTATCTTAAATTTTGCTTTTGATTCCCTTTAATTTTGTACTATTCTAACTTCAACAATAGGCATCGAAATTTGTTTCTTCGATTCTCGATGTACTTTCATCTTCGTGGTTACCAGCTTTTACCAATTTCATCGAAAATACGTTCTCGATGTCTTTTACCAATCGTATGGTCTTTGATTTTTCCTTTCCTTCATTTTTTCGATCCCTTAATCGATTTCCCATTAACAAAATGCCCTCTTGGAAGAATATAAAAGTTTGTATTTATATTCTTTCAACATCATTCCCGCCTTTTGGAGGCCCATCAGAACTTAGGGTTTAGGGTTGCTGGGGTTTTAGGGTTCTTTCCACTTTATGTCACCTATCATGTCAGTTCTGCCGCCTCACTGCACACGCCACATTAATTACCCTTCACCTCCGTCGCTTCCAATATCCCAGAAAGTTTCCTTTAAACATTTGTTAACCTTTTTACCCTTGTTTTTCACTACGCACTTCATTTACTCCTCCTTTGCATCTTCGTCTTCTCCCCTGCACCTTCGTCTCCTACCTTTGTCCTCATCTGCTCTACTGATTACTGGAATGGCAACCTCATCCAAATCCTCTGACCTTTCCACCCCACCACTTCCTTCGGTGGCCACCAACCTATTGGAGATCAATAACCAGAAATTCGCTCCAGTTCCTCTGATGGAGGAAGCTTCTCAGAAAATCGCTGAGACGCAGGTACTCATTCCCTATACTGCTGATAATATTAATTACGCTTTCGGAGGTCCTATCCGCTATTGTGGCGGATCATTTTCTTCTTCTCTCAGCCTTCCTTCAGAGAGTAAAGCTCTTGTCCATCAGCCTGAGGTTCGAATAGATTTTCTGCACATTGCGTCCTAGGCATATCGAACGGGCCCACCTCACAAAAAACCCTCGTACATGAAATGGTTTGATCGAATTAAGGCTAAGAGTTTGGGAACCATTGGAGGGCTGTAGGAATTTTCGATTTTCTTCATTTGTCTCAGTGTGACCTGTCCTTCTTGGATATGTCCATGTTTTTATCTGCTGTTCATTTATGGAATAAGGACTTGCATGCTTTGGAACTGCCTTGTGGCCCTTTTTCGCCCACTCTTTTTGAAATTGCTGCTATTACCGGGCTAAAACCCATAGGAGAAAAATATTTTAAAGGTGCTTTTTCTTCGGACAATTCCTTAAGGTCCAAAATCAATTGGGAATCGAAAGCCTATGGGCATTTTCTCGAGAAACATTTCATTGATGACTCAACAGTGGCTATTTCTGATGAAGAGCACGTGACCTTCTTGGTATACTGGTTATGCACCCACGTCTTCTGCCCCCGATCCATCCAAATTACATCCCACCTCTATAACCTCGCCTATATTCTCCACACTGGCCAACCACAAATTAATTTAGCCAAGTTATTATTGGCCCATGTTTATACTGCTTTCGATGAGGGCGTCGATATTTTGAACGCCCCTAGGGCCTCGGGGAATTTTTCGGGTCCTATTTTGTTTATTCAATTATGGCTCACCTCGATTTTTGAAAGTACCCTCCCCCCAACCTTACAAATCCCCCCAAGTCTGAATTTAGAGGGTGCTCGATTATCTTCTCGACATCCCCACCACAAATCCAATGAGGCTAGTTACCGAAATTACTTGCAATTTTTGCTGACCCGCTTTCATTTTGATTCGAGTTTGGCCCCTTTTACTGTGTATCTTGGACAAATAAGTGACCAACTTCAAGGGCAAACATGGTTTAGATCGAAATTTCCTGCTCTTACTCCCGGACTACAATCGGAATTGATCGAAGTATGGAGTAATTACTTAGCTCAAGATGTCTTGGTATCGGGTTTCCAATCGAAGGACCTTCAACTCATCACTTATTACCCCCAGCTTTTCTCGCGGCAGTTTGGTCTGAGTCAAGCCTTACCCTTTTTCCCCCTCGATACTTCCCCAAGGTCCAAGTTAAGTGAATCGACAATCGGACGGGAGCTCTCCAAACTGCTGCCAAAAACCCCAATGCATTTTTATCCTTATGTTTTCGAATCCAATTATTTATCAACTTTAGGTTTCTCTGAGTGGTGGGCCGATTGGTTTTCGAAAAATCATTCTGATTTTGGCATACTTCAACAAAAATTGACTGCTCATCTTTCTCTCGTGTTGCAGGACAAGTCGAAGGCGAAGAAAGGTACACACTCCCACTATCTCCAAATATCTCGATTCGAGAATTTTTATCGAACATGTTACAACCCCTTAAAATTAGAATCGACCTTCTATGATGCTGTTATTTCCTTAGCCAATAAAACAGACATAAATCGATCGAACCACAAAACAGACATAAATCGATCGAGGAAAAACCCCTTTTGAAATGTATTGTCCCGATCACCTTCCCACTTTTCCTATAGCACCCTTCGGGATCACCAAACCTCTAACTCATCCCAAATGGGTTCGAGAATTGAGATCCCTAAAAGAAACTCTTCGTCCCAAACCCAAAAACAAAGATATTTCTGTGTCAAAATTGTCCTATTTCCCTTACCTAAACCTTCCTCAAATTCTTCTTTCTCCTTGGCTTGTCCATATCGACCGAGTCAAGATTTTGACTCCATCACCTTTTGGTGAGATTTTGCTACCTCTTTTAGGAATAATTTAGTTTTCTTTGTATTGCAAGTTAACTGTTTTCCTTTCTTCGACAGTCTCGAAATCTTCTAAGACTGTTGTCTCTAAGAAGGAGAAGGATTGGGAGTCCTCTGATGAGTCAGATCCATCGGCCCTCATCAGGAAACGCAAGCGCTCTGCCACCATTACCTCATCTTCGAAAAAAATCGAAGGTTTTTCTCGATTTCTCATTGTCTTATTTCTCCATCTATGTCTATAGCTGATTCACTTTGGATTCTCATACATATTTCTTTGTCATTTATTTTCGATTTCTAATTTCAGAAACAAAAATCGAAGAGTCCTCGATCTGTTCAACCAACTACTGTTAATCCATTATCGACGGACTCTAATATAGTCACTAAAACGGGCCAGACAACACCCACCACCCATTCAAGTCACGTAAGTCCTCTTTTTTACACATTTTACCTACCTATATTTTCGATAAGGCTTATAACATGATGTTAAATCTCGATGTTTTTCAGGATCTTCCATCGGCGACTATATCGACGACTGTCGATTCTTTACTTCTCTCTTCAACACCTATTCTTGAGGTATGGCTCCTAAATTTTGTATGTATGTTTAATTGACTTTTCTTTTACACATTTCCTTTTCTAATATTTATTTCGATTTACAGCAACCTCAGGCTGTACAGGATCCTCCACCTGTCTCAACATCCCTCGCTCTACTTCCCCCTGGTATTAATTTTTCTTTTACTGTTTAATTCTATTTCATTATTCTTTAGGATTTTTCGATTCACCCTTTCGAATTATTTTTTCTTCAGTAAATATCCCTGTAGTCCAAGTCCAGGATTCTCCTTCCCCAGTTTCCGCAGAGCAATTGGATTCCCCTCCTTTTGCGATGCCTTCTGTCGAGTTGCTCTCGGCATCATTACCCGAGATAAATGAGCCTGCTCCCGGAGATGTATCAGAATATCGAGCTGCCATCGAGGAAGATCCTTTTTCAATCCTCGATATTCTGCTGTCTGCAGAGGTCACTCCGTCGAGCTCTTCGAAAACGCCCCCGACTTCAATTGAGGGACCATACCAGCTGAAACAACGCTTCAGGTCTTTCTTCTACTCCTCGCCCCTCGAAGTTCTGGTGGAGTCGCG